AACCCTAACCCTAACCCTAACCCTAACCCTTATCATCCCTCCCCGGGTATCCCTGGGTAACTGGCCCCGAGGCGTGCGGCCCAGGTGAGGCGGTGGGCGTGGTGGGATTTGGCCTCAAGAGGGGAGGGTGGCGTCTAGAAGCAAGGAGAAAGCCCAGGTGTGTGGAGTGAGGAGATGGGCGGGGTCAGGAGAAGGCCCTCGCGTGCAGAGATAAGGATTAGTGGTGCAATGTTTAAGCGCTTGGCTGATAACTGAAAGGTGGACTGTTCAAACCCACCAGCCGCTCAGGGGTTGAAAAGACCTGGCGATCGGCTCCCAAAAACATTCAAACCAAGCAAATTCCCAAACCCGATGCCGGCGAGTCAGCTTCCAAGGAGCGGCTGGAGGATTCAAACTGCCTACCCTTCGGTTAGCAGCCGAGCTGTTAACCACTGCACCATCAGGGCTCCTCCACAAAGATTATAACCTAGGAAACCCTATGAGGCAGTTCTAAGTTGTTATACAGGGTCACTATGAGTCAGAATCGACTTGATGGCACACAACTATGATTGTACTAAGAAAAATTCCTCCAAGCATCTGTCTGCGTGACCCTGAAGCACATGTATGCACGCTATCAAAGCAGTGCAGCCAAAGAGAAAATCAGCACTGAGACTTCACAGAGTGGAGAGTGAAAATAAGCAGTGGTTTCTGAGGGGCATGCAGCTCAAGGGGAGGAAGCAGCATACAAGTAAACGCCTTTCTCCTTCTATTGCTCGATGGTCTTGAAAAAGAAAGAATGTGTCCCAGGAATTGACTGCAGGCCAGGATAACTTCAGCACAGCAAGTACAGAGGACTGGTCAGGATGCTTCTGCAGTGGTCAGGGTGAGGAACGATGGTGGTAGTGCAGGTGGGAGCAGTGGGCAGGCTTGGGGTGTACTTTGGAGCCTGAGCTGCCAAGAATTCCAGGTGTACTAGACGTATGGGATGTGTGGAACAGTGAATCAAAGGTGACTTCTAGAATTCAGGCTACAGTGAGAGCATGGTCACCAAAGCCATTCTCTACCATGTGGAAAACCATGGAGGAACAAACTTGGGAAATGACCAAAAGATTTCTTCTGGACATGTTAGATTTGGATGTCTGGAGTCATTCAAGTATGGAGAACAGTGCCCAGCTGTGGGTACAACTCTGAGGTAGAGCAGTTTCCTGGGTTCTAACTAAGAATTTGGAGATCACCAGCCTATAGTAGATTTGAAAGCCACTATAATAAGCTCAGAAAAGATGTGTATCAGGGTTGTCTCCTTTCACCATACTTATTCAATCTGTATGCTGAGCAAATAATCCAATAAGCTGGACTATATGAATACGAGTGCTGCGTCAGAATTGGAGGAAGACTCATTAACAACGTACAATAAGCAGATGACACAACCTCGCTTGCTGAAAGTGAAGAGGACTTGAAGCATTTACTGATGAGGATCAGACTTCAGCCTTCAGTATGGATTACACCTCAATATAAAGAAAACAAAAATCCTCACAACTGGTCCAATAAGCAACACCACTATAAACGGAGAAAATATTGAACTCAAGGATTTCATTTTACTTGCATCCACAATGAACGTCCATGGAAGCAGCAGTCAAGAAATCAAACAACGTATTGTATTGGACAAATCTGCTACAAAAGAACTCTTTAAAGTGTTAAAAAGCGAAGATGTCACTTTAAGGACTAAGGTGTGCCTGACCTAAGCCATGGTATTTTCAATCGCCTCATATCCATGCTAAAGCTGGACAATGAATAAGGAAGATAAAAGAATTGACACTTGAATTATGTTGATAAAGAAGAATGAATATACCATGGACTGCCAGAAAAAATGAACAAATCTGTCTAGGAAGAAGTACAGCAAGAATGCTCCTAAGAAATGTGGATGGCAAGACTTCATCTCACATATTTTGGACACATTATCAGGGGGGACCAGTCCCTAGAAAAAGACATCATGCTTGGTAAAGTAAAGGGTCAGTGAGAAAGAGGAAGATCCTCAATGAGATGGATTGACACGGTGGCTGCAACAGTGGGCTCAGACATAGCAACAATTGTGAGAACGGCACAGGACCAGGAAGTGTTTCATTCTGTTCTACATAGGCTTGCTATGAGTTGGAAATGACTCAAGGGCACCTAACATTATAAGCTCACTGAGATCTCCTGGGGATAGAATGTTGTATTCACTATAGAACAATTCCCAGCCGTATAAGGAGAATAAAGAAACAGTTTGTTTACCATATTTACTAGTACTATGATTTATATTTGGTAATTTCCACATTCTGTTGGATCACCTTTCTTTGGAATGGGCACAAATATGGATCTCTTCCAATCCGTTGGCCAGGTAGCTATCTTCCAAATTTCTTTGCATAGAGGAGTGAGCACCTCCACCGATGCATCCGTTTGTTGAAAGAACTCAATGGGTATACCATCAATTCCCAGGGCCTTGTTTTTCACCAATGTCTTCAGCACAGCTTGGACTTCTTCCTTCACTATTATCGGTGAAGGATCATATGCTACTTCCTGAAATGACTGAAAGTCAACCAATTCTTTTTGCTACAGTGACTCTTTGTATTCTTTCCATCTTCTTTTGACGCTTCGTCGTTTAATATTTTCTCCATAGAATCCTTCAATATTGCAACCCAAGGCTTGAATTTTTTTCTTCAGCTCTTTCAGCTTGAGAAATGCCAAGCATGTTCTTCCCTTTTGATTTTCTAACTCCAAGTCTTTGCACATTTCCTTATAATATTTTACTTTGTCTTTGAAATCTTCCGTTTGGCTCTTTTACTTCATCATTTTTTCCTTTCGCTTTAGCTACTCTACAGTCAAGAGCAACTTTCAGAGGCTCTTCTGACATCCATTTTAGTCTTTTCTTTCTTCCCTATCTTTTCAATGACCTCTTGCTTTCTTCATGTATGATGTCCTTGATGTCATTCCACATATCGTCTGGTCTTCAGTGTTCGTCAAATCTATTCTTGAGATAGTCTCTAAATTCAGGTGGTATATACTCTAGGTCATACTTTGGCTCTGGTGGCCTTGTTCTAATTTTCTTCAGCTTAAATTTGAACGTGCATATGAGCAATTGATGGTCTGTTCCACAGTCGGCCCCTGGTCTTGTTCTGACTGATGATATTGAGCTTTTCCATCGTCTCTTTCCACAGATGTAGTCAATTTGATTTCTGTGTATTCCATCTGATGAGGTCCACGTGTATAGTCACCGTTCATGTCGGTGAAAAACGGTATTTGCAATGAAGTCATTGGTCTTGCAAAATTCTATCATGCTCTCTCCAGCATCGCTCCTATCACCAAGGCCATATTTCCCAACTACTGTGCTTCCTTCTTTGTTTCCCACTCTCACATTCCAATCACCAGTAATTGTCAACGCAGCTTGATTGCATGTTTGATCAGTTTCAGACTGCAGAAGTTGGTAAAAACCTTCAATGTCTTCATCATGGGCCTTAGCGGTTGGTGGGTAAATTTGAATAATAGTCATATTAACTGGTCTTCCTTGTAGGCATATGGATATTATCCTATCACTGACAGCGTTGTACTTCAGGATAGATCTTGAAATGTTCTTTTTGAAGACGAATGCAATGCCATTCCTCTTCAATTTGGCATAGTAATAGAAATCAAACAACATATTGCATTGGGCAAATGTGCTGCAAAAGACCCCTTTAAAGTGTTACAAAGCAAAGATGTCCCTTCAAGGACTAAGGTGCGCCTGACCCAAGCCATGATGTTTTCAATAGCCTCATATGCGTGCGAAAGCTGGACAATGAATAAGGAAGACCAAAGAGGAATTGACACCTTTGAACTATGGTGTTAGTGAAGAATATTGAATATACCATGGACTGCCAGAAGAACGAACAAATCTGTCTTGGAAGAAGTACAACCAGAATGCTCCTTGGAAGCAAAGATGGCAAGACTATGTCTCACATACTTTGGACATGTTATCAAGAGTGATCAGTCCCTGGAGAAGGACATCATGCTTGGTAGAGGGTCAGCGAAAAAGAAGACGCCCCTCAACGAAATGGGCTGACACAGTGGCTGCAACAACGGGCTCAAGCATAACAATTGTGAGCATGGCAGGACGGGGCAGTGTTTTGTTCTGTTTTGCACAGGGTCACCGTGAGTCAAAATCGACTTGACAGCACCTGACAACAACATCTGGCAATCCTTGGCGTTTATTTGCTTGTAGACAATCCTCACATGGCATCTGTCTTCCCTCTGTGTGTGTCTCTGGTTTATTCTGCTCTTTTTATAACTCAGAAGTGATTAGGCTTAGGAACCACCCTACACTTGTATGGCCTCATTAACATGACAAAAGAAAACCTCTATTCCCAAACAGGATAACATACACAAGTACAGGGCCAGGACTTCAGTACATATTTTTGGAGGACACAACCCAATCCACAACACTGACTGTTGGGGAAGTGGTGAAGCGGTCTATCACATGGCCCTCCACTCCCACCTGGACCACCTTGTCATAAGCCTGTCCCAGTTTCTTCTTCTTCCTTATTGGGGAAATTCCCTCACTGTTTTGGGTACACAGTAAACTTTCCTTGTTCTGCTTACTGTTAAGTGTGTGAGTTATATGGGACCTGACCAACCTCATTTCTCTGCCTGTTCCCAGCAAGCAGGGCACAAGTCCTTCAACTGCAGCACAAAAGAGGGGTGCATGCAGACCACCAGCCACGCGTCAGCTGTGGGAATGACCTGTTGGCCATGCGGGACCAATGCCCACTACTGAAGCTGAACTTGCTCTCTGTAAGTTGTGTCTTTCTTGGCAATCTCAGAGCCTGGCTCAACAGTTCGGTGCAGTAATCAAGGCTGACGCCGACTCTAATCCTAACCCAAATCCAAGCCTGAACCCAAACCCTGAACCCGAACTCAAATCTGAGTCAAAAACCTAACTCTATCCCAAACCCGAAGCAAACCCAAACCCCAAACTCAACATGAACCCTGAGACCTAACCATTAAGCTGAACCAGACCCCAAATCTGACACCTGCTGAGCAGGTAAACCAATTGCAGTCTATCCATACAATGGAATGTTATTCAGCCGTAAAGAGAAATGAAGTTCCGAGAGATCCTACGACACGAACGAACTTCGAAAACATTATGCTAAGTGAGCAAAGGCAGATATAAAAGACCACGTATTATATGACTCCATTTATATAAAATGTCCAGAATAGATGCATCCATAGAGGCAAAAAAGACATTAGGGGTTGCCAGGAGCTCGGGACAGGGAGAAATGAGGAGTTACAGGATTTCCTTCCGGAGGTGAATATAAGGTTCTGGAGGTAGAGGGAGGTGGAGGTTGCACAACACCATGAATGTACTAAAATGCCACTGCCTTGTACTCTTCAAACTGTCAGTTATGTGACTTTTACCTCAACCAAGAAAAAAAAAGGAGGAAAAACAAGACGAACCCGGCCCTAGCACGCCCTCAGCAGTGAGTCCTCTTCCCTCAGCCTGGCGTTCAAGGCCCTCCACAGTCAAGCCAGTCTGGACACACAGCCAGTCTTCGTTCCTCAACCAAGAGCCATTTCATAACCCTGGTCCCAGGCCCCGCCTCTCAGGGAACTCATGGAGCTTAGAGGTCCCTTGAACCTTGTTCTGCTGTAATCCTGTCTCTGCAAAGGCTTCCGAGGGTCGCCCCGGCTCAATCAGGGTCTAATCTAGGGTTTTCTGAGTGCCACCTGCTCAGGTGACTCTCACAGCGAACCCTGCGAAGTACCACCACCCTTGAGCAGTTGAGGGGTGAGGCTCAGGGTGCCAAGGGCCCAGCCTCCACACACCCTCTCCAAGTGGGGGCCTAGGGCTCCAGGCGGCTGCACTCCAGGGGGCACTCAGCGGGGCGTTTGTGGTCAGATGAATGTGCGTCCCCACCACACGAGAGATGCGTCCCCGCTGTGGCCATCACATGTCTGATGTGCAGGTAGCCACAGAGGTGCTGTTCTAAATACACCAGCCTGGGGAGTCCCCGTGGGCTCCAGGAAGTGGATTTTCGATAGGACTTTCAGATTCGGTCAGAGCAGAGGAAGCCTGCACCTCACTTCCGCCCACACCCCTCGCTGCCTCTGGATGCTACAGATACCTTCTGGGGGACTGGCCCACCCTACTAAACCGAAGGGCTACACAGGCACAGGCACGCTGCCCCCCAGGAAGAAGGGGCTGCCAAGTGCTCCTCTCTGCAGGGCCACAGGGACATGGGAGCACCCGGGAGAGCTCGGGGGAGATGGACATCAGTCCCATTTGACTTCAAACCTTCGGCTCTCCCATCCCTAGCACCTCACTGGGAGGATGACCAGACACCAGCCCACAGCCCAGCAGCCAGGCCCTCCTGAGCTGCCCGCAATCCACTGCAACAACCAGTGAAGAGCTCTTCTGCCTGTCTGCTGGGGAGGGACCACGTGCCTCCAGAGGCTGGGCCCCCACTGCCCCATCCACCTCTCTCTACCTGCTGCTGGGCCTAGGCACTCTGGCCATGACTCAGCCTTGTGGGGCCAGGGAGGGATGAGGACAAGGAGGTGTCAGAGGGGGTCCTCCTGAAACCAGTCACTGAGCATCTGCCCTGCTGTTCCCTGGGGCCCAAAGACCTCACCCCCGCACACCTCCTCTGAGCCCCCTCCCCACGTACCCCCTCTAGGACCCCTCCATCCTGTATGCCTTTCGGGACCCCTTCAACTGCACACCTCTTGCAGGCCCCCTCCCTCCAGCCATCGGCAATCTGGGGCAGCCACCATGTCCTTTAATCTCAAGAAGGCTCAAGAGATGAGGCATCACCTGGTCAGGACATCTCACCTACAATCACTGACCCTTCAAGGGGTGGGGGCATGACAGGCTGTGGGACCACAGTCAAAATGGATGAGGGGACACCAGGCATTTGCAAGAGCTGCAGAGGTCCCTTCTACAGGTGTGAGAGGAGGGGTGTGAGGAGCTGTTTCTGTCTAGATGGGAGTCCAGGTGCCCCTAAGGCGAGGGCCAGGCCCACCGTCTGCTGAGGGCAGGAGGTGCTCATGCAGCCCTTTCACAGGGGTCCTGGTTCTGACTGTGACCAACTCCCACATAAGAGCCCCCATGCTGGGGGTCTGGGTCCTCCGGGTCCCAAGAAAGGCCAGAGGCTAAGGCGGGGGTGGGCACAAGGCTCTGCATGTTTCCTGGGGGGGCCAAGGGGTGGCACCCCCCGTAGTAGCCCAGGGCACAGTAGTCGCTGCTGCAGCTCTCTGAGTCTGGGGGGACTGGCCTGATGGGGGGCACAAGAGCCCAGTCCTCCTGTGGCAGGTAGGCAGGCAGCTGCCCCCCCAACTCCAGGCCCCCTGCTGGCAGCACATCCTCTGAGCCCAGGGCAGACAGGTCCTCCTCTTCCTCCAAGTGGGCAGGCGGCCAGGACCACACCGGGCTGCAGGTGAGCAGAGCCACAGCCTCTCGGCAGCTGGGCCCTGAGCCTCCCAGTTGGGTGCCGACGCCCTCTTGGCTCAGCTGCAGGCCCATTCGGTGAGCCCCCATCCAGGTCTGGAACAGAGCACAGCGGGAGAGGGTCAGACCTGGATGGGGACTCACCCTGGGACCAGTGGCTCTTCCTCCTCCAGGGAGCCCCCCTGGCGCCACCTCAAAGCTGAGCAGCTACCCACCATGTGTCAGCCCCACCTCTGCCCAGGACCCCGAGTCCCTTCAGCCCCTCATGTTCACCCCACACCGGGCCTGTGCTCCCCATGACATGAACCAAGGTACAGAGGGCGACAGGTATGGAGGGTAGAGAACCCTGAACCTTTCAGCAGTGAGAGGCAGGTCACCCCCACCGGACCCATGTACACATCCACGCAGAAGACAGGAGCACCTGTGAGGAGCTGTCTTGGCCCCCACAGAACCCCGTTCCTGGTGTTCCCTGGACAGCGACCCTGGAGCCAGACCCCAGAGTGTCCGATGTGCTTCCAAGTGTCCCAAGAGGGCGCCAGGAAGGGGGTGCAGAGTCCAGACAGGGCAGTGGTGCCGCTCACATCCAGGGGTCGGGGGACCACACAGCAGCCACCATGAGGGCAGCACAGCCCCCGACACCCTCCCCATGGCTGCAGGACACAGACACCTCGGGGAGGAGGGTGGAGGCCCACACAGGAGGGAACACTGAACTGACCACTATCCCAAGGGGATGTCTTGAGCCAAAGCAAAGGGAGCACAGGATGGGATCGGAAATACCAGAACAGAAACAAATAGGAAATACAGAAAAGCTAATTCTTTGCACATCTGAGACACTGCGTACATTTCAACCCGCCAGATATACAAAAAAAGCTCAAGGCACCAACAGACGACCAGAGACCACATCCTGGGCTGCGGGACCTCAGGGCCAGCTGTGCACGCACCTGGAAATTCCCATGGTGCACCTCGTAGAGGGGCTGGAAGAACGCAGCTGGAGAGGGCACGTGCTGGTGGAAGGCCCTCTTCACCCTGTGCCAGGAGAGGACAGTCACAGCCCTGGGAGCCAGGGCTCCTTGCGGCCCAACTCCAGATGCGGGCAGCCCTGCAGGACTCAGCTCCTTCCCACAACCTCCTGGCTTCTGCCACTTGAGCACTGTCCCTGGCACTGCCAAGTTCTGTCCTCTCGCTGTGTCCACAGTGGGGTCACTGGCTGACAACCCCACAGACCTGGTTTACAGTGTGGCTGTGATAGCACCTCAGGCAGAAGTGACCGCCGCAGCCTCCATTGCAGATGGCTCCCAGCTCCCTGCCCTACCTGGATGGGGGCTCCCACCTAACACATCCAAATCCAACCTCACCCACTGCGCCCCTGGCTCCTGCAGTTCCCTCCTCACCAACCCTCAGGTCCCACAGATCTCTCTTCCCAAGACCCTCCATTCCCTCCGCTTCCCTTGCCCGCTCAAGCCGATTCGCCTCCCACCGGACACCCACACCAGCCTCCATACAGGGCCCCTCATCTCCCTTACACCCACACCAGCCTCCAGACAGGCCCCCCCGTCCCCCTTACGCCCACGCTTACGCCCGTGCCAGCATCCACGCAGGGCACCCCCGTCCCCCTTACGCCCACGCTTACGCCCGTGCCAGCATCCACGCAGGGCGCCCCTGTCCCCCTTACGCCCATGCCAGCCTCCACGCAGGGCCCCCTCGTCCCCCTTCGCCCACGTCAGCATCCACACAGGGCCCCCCTTGTCCCTGTATCCCAACCACAGCCTCCCACCCCGCAGCCTCCCTGGCTCCACTGTCTGGCTAGGCCCGGGACCCCTCTCCCCACACATCTGCTCTCTCTTCCCAGCTGTCTGACCTCCTCTTGCCCCCGCATGCCGGGCCCTCTCCTGACTCACCACCCAGTACTTCTGACCCAGCTAGTCCCCTCTGGGAGCCCCTCCCTGCCTGGCCCCTGCCCCCCCATAACCTGACACCAGAGGAGGCTCTGTATCCTGTTCCCCGTGACCACCCCCCACCCCCAGGGCCTGGCACACGCCAGGTGTCCAAAACTGTTCTCACAGAAGAGGTGAACAAGTGAGCAAACCAAGCAGAGATGAGCAAGCAGGCGGCTTGGCTGGGGACCCCGAGTACCTCCCATGGACTCATGAGGGGTCCCTCATCGGGGGCCCTGGTTACAGCCACCTCCTCCTCTGGCAGCTTGAGGGCTCCCACCTGGCTCGGCCCCATGAAAGACCAGAGTAGACAGGAGGTGGGGCAGAGTGTCCAGGGGTTTAGGGGTTTGGCCCGTGGTACCCCCACCCACCACACCTACCACACTCCTGGCCACACACCTGGGCGACAGCTTGAACAGGAGGTAGGTCAGGCCGGTCAGCAGGAGAAAGACGGATACAGCAACGAGGGTGCTGTCTGGCCGCCCCCAAGGCGGGGTCAGGGGGTCTGTGAGCAGTAGGGCCAGGGCTGTGAGCAGCCGCAGCAGTGGGCCAAGGGAACAGGGTTCAGGTAGCTGGGAAGTTTGGTTCCTGCCTGCTAAAGTACCACTGGCCTCAGTTTCCCCACTTGCAATTCAGTCATCAGGGTCGGAGCATTCCAGCACCTTCTGTTTGCAGGGATTGGCCCAGCCTCCCCGTAAGGAAAAGGTCATGTCCAGCTTCCAGAGACAAGGATGCAGGCCACCCCACCCCAACGCACTCACTTCTTATAATAGTTACTCGGTCCCAGAAGTCCCTGCGGTTTAGGGGGGTTGTTTCATGGTGGTTAGCTGGGGGGTGACTGCCTCAGGAAGGGGGTTCCAGGGTGACAGGGAGCTGACAGGGGAGCCACCCCACCTGGTCTCCGGGGAGCGGGGAAGCGCACGGACGGGCTCCACTCGCTCCACGGGCCCTCGTAGTGTTCCTCCTTGGTCACATCATCCTCCTGCGCCATCTTTACACGCAGCCTGGCCTCGTAGGTTGAGCCGGGGTCCAACTCCATGGCTTCCAGGGTGAGCCGGGTCACCCCGATAATGCGGTCCTTGTGCCGGGCCTGCTATGGGGCCGGGACAGTTAGCAGGTGCTGGGGGGCTGGGGGTGACCAGCTGGGGTCAGCCCTTGAGGATGTACAAGCATGCACACCCAGGCACACATAGGCACAAAGGCACATCCGTATGCACACACACACACATATGCGCACAGATATGCATGCACAGACACACCCATGTGCGCACACACACACACACGCACGGTCACACGCGCACGCACATTCACGGGCACATATAGGCACATACAGGCACACAGACAGACACATCCATGTGTACACACCCGTCACTGCACACAAATGCACATATGCACACAGTCACACACACATGCACACAGGCAGACACGCATGCACACACTCCTGGCCCTGGTCCTCTTGTCCTCGTGGCCAGATCCCTCCCCACTCAACGTTGACATCTCCCAGTGTGGGCGGGCTGTCTGCCAGATGAAGCAGCTGAGCGTTACCTCCCAGGCCTCCTCCTGCCTCTTGAAGGCCAGCTCATAGGCAAGGAACCCGGCCATGGGCTCCAAGGCAGGGCTGATGCTCCAGGTCAGGATGCAGTAGTCAGAGCTGACGTTGCTCTGCAAGGCAGAGGGGGGGTCCAGCTTGACTGGAACAGAGGGAAGCATGTGAGGCTGCAGCCCCAGGACTAGTCCTAGGTCTCGTGTGGCAGGACTGGGGGTACCTGCTGGGCCTTTGGGGGGCATGGGCTGTAGGGCCTCTCCAGCATCCAGGGCACCCGGCTCACCATGTCTCCGGGGCAGGTACTGCGGGTCCACCAGGCTGACCTGCTCCTGCCCAGCAATGAAGCGGTGCAGTGTGATGGTGAAGCTGTCACTGGGCACCAGCACCTCCTCGGGTGGCAGCTCCACAGAGCAGGCGCTGGCCCGAAAGACACACCTGTGTTTGCTGCCTGGAGCATGTTCACTGGGAAGGACACCTGTCAGCACCACTATCGTGGGGACCCCACCCTTGCCCCTGCCCCCACCCAGGTGGGGCTGCCCTTTCCCTCACCTGGTGAGGAGCAGCCAGGGGTCAGTGCCCGGGTCCAGTGCTGGGGCTGACAAGTAGCAGTCGATCCGGAGGATGTTGTTGTTGAGGCACGAGACAGTTCCTAGTCCTGGCCCTGGGACAGTGACTGACAGGCGTGGGGCTGGCAACTGACACCCTAAGGGACCATCCCCTGGGAACGACCCCGGGAGAATTCACCAAGGGCAGGGCTTGGGGACAATGGGCCCTCGCCCCTTGCACTGGGCTCATCAGTCCCAAGGAAAGCCCCTGAGGACAGACCACACAGAGGAGGTGCAGAATGCAGCCCCACAGTCCTGACAGATGGCAGCCCCACCCATCCAAGCACCCGGCCCTCACCTCCTCCTCCCACTGGGAGAAAGGCTCCCCAGCAGACGCAGGTGCAGACCAGGAGCCAGGCGCCCACTTCCTGAATCAGGGCCTCGCCCTCTGAGGTCCAGCCTGCAAGAGATCCTACCCATGAGGTGCCCCTATGAAGGGTGCTACCCGTGAGGTCCTCCCTGTGAGGTGCCCCCTATAAAGGGTGCTCCCCGTGGTCTGTGAGGTGCTCCCTGGAAGGTCCTCTCCCGTGAGCATGCTCTCCCATAAGACGCTCCCCTGGGGCGCTATGAGCTTCCAGCAGAGTGTTCTAAGGGGTTGCCACTCCACCCTGACCATGTCCCGGGAGGCAGGCGGGTCACCCCTGTCCCTGTTTCACCGATAAGGAACTGAAGCTCAGAATGATCACTTGACCTGCCCAGACTCATGGCTACAACACTCAGGCCCTGAACTCCTGGGTGGGCCTGGGCTCTGGACCAGCCAAGTCTCCGCGTCGGCCGAGGAGGCTCCTGTCTGGGCCCAGGTCCTGCCCTGCAGAGGAGGCAGGACAGGGGCTGGTCATTGCTGACAACAACCGTGGGTGCGATTCATTGAGCTCCTGGTGCCACATCCCGAGGTGACTGCGTAACACGCGTGTTCCATGTTAATTCTCACAGCAGCCGTGGGAGGTACAGCGTTGTGGGCCGGGTAGGTCCAGCCAACCTCTCCACAACCCCCTCCTGTCTGTCTCCCTCCAAAAAAGACCAAACCTGGGGTTCTGCACAGGAAGATGGAGGGCAACGTAGCAGGGGGTACGTGCAAAAACCTGCCCTTCCTAAACTCCCCTTCTCAGTCCTGCCCTGCCCTGCCCCCACCCCGTGAAGGAGAGCCACCAAGGCGAGCCCCGGAACCGGGCTGGGTGTCAGGAAGTGCCTAGGTGCCGGGGAGGGTGCCAACACCCTATCACCCCATTTGCAGCTCCAGATGGCACACTGATAGCCCCAAAGCAGGAAGGCGGCCAGCCCGGTTATGCAAGTCCAATACATGATAAGGAAGCTAAGAAGCAACAGTGTGCACACAGACCACGGCACACAAGTCTCAGGGAGCCAGCACAGAGCCTGCACAGAGCCACACATCCTCACAGAGCCGTACACTCTACCAGGCAGCAGACACCATGTCAACCCCCCCCCCCCCGCCCGCCACACACCCTGGTAGCCTGTCCATGTGCCCACAGGACAGACTTCTGCAAAGACAGATTGGCAGGATGACCTCATACTTCCCTAGAAATGTCCCCAAGGCTCACCTGTCCCCTCTTGGAGCAGTGTGCTGACATCCCAGCCAGCTCTCAGGTGCATGAGGGCAAACCCAGGTGAGACAGGGCTATGGGGCAGCTCAAGAACAGCATCACCTCCTGCTGAGAGCTGCCCCAGGCCCCACGCAGAGGGACCCTGTGTCTGTACAGAGTCAGGCAGCCACTAGCCACCCCAGGAGCAGCACAGCTCTAAGCTCGTGCCCACCCTGACAGGTAGGCAGGACACTCCCGGGGCACCAGCAGGGGCCAGCTACCAGCCTGGAGGAACACAGAGACAGGCATCCTGGGGATGGCCCGTTTCACCTGTGCTCAGACCACTGTCTGTGTACCCCTCCTACAGACAAAGAGACTGAGGCCAGGCAGTACTGAGGATGTGCCAGGCACCTGACCCCTCTGTTCCTGGCACGTGTCCCTCCGGCTCCCACACGAGCCCGCGTGCCCTCACAGGGCCCGCACTCCCCTCGGGAGACACTGCAGATGTTGTATACACTTCGCCTTCTCTGGGGTGAAGCCGCAGGCACCGGGAGGGGACATTTCTAAGGCAGGGCCACCCTGACCCTTGGCCACAGACACCCTCACCTACGCACTCCCGTCCGGGAAGAGTCACGGGACGAGGCCAGGGACCCTGACGACACCTGAGACAACCCCAGGTGCGCTGACGGCTGTGGGCAAGATGGGGGGCGCTGTCTGCCCCTCTGGACACAGCTGCCCCCCAGAGCACCTCCTCCGTACTCCTGCTCCCCCTGTGGCCACTTGGGTCGCTTCTCGGAGCCCGTCTCCCCCACAGCCTCGGAATTGGTGTGTGGCCTGCACAGCCACCAGGACCAGCCCCAGGAAGGGTCTCAGACAGGCACTGCTCAGCCAGCCTCCCATGTGACTGTGTCCACTCACGGGCCCTTGAAACGGGGTGTGCGTGAGGGGTGTCCTCAGGAAGGAGAAGCCAGGCTGAGCTGGGAAGGGGCAGGGCTAGACAGACGGCAGCACTGCAGAGACCTCAGGGCACCCGGTGGAGACCAAGGGTAGGAGGGTACGCGCTGCATCGGAAGGAGGGTCCCTCGAGGAAGACCCGTCAGACCCCAGGAACCTGGGCGGGGTGCTCCAGCCACACACCCTCCCCTGCCGCCTCTTCCTCACCACAGCACACGCCCGCCCTAAAGCCCTCCAAGGCCAGGAAGTCCAGGGCTTTGCCTGCGGCCCAGGAACATCCACCTACCCTCATCTCAAGGGTCATCTCGGCCATGGCGGAAGCATGAAACTCTGACAAACTCAGCGGCCCCCTTTCCAGCCCGGAGCACGCGCTCGGACCACTCCCCGGTCAGTGCAGCAGAGTCCGCGCCTCTGGAGATGCCCAAGCGAGGGCACCTGAAGACGTCTCAGATGCCGGGGTGAGACCGCAGCAGCCTATGCCCGTCCACGTGAGCCACGGGGCCTCTCCGACTCTGGGCTACCTGAGACACTCACCTCCCTGGAAGCACCTGCCCCATCCCATCGTGCCCCCGGAGCTGGAGGTGTGCAGTACGGCCGTCCTGGCGAGCAGCAAAGCCCCTCGCTGGCTTGGAGACAAGTGCAGCAGCAATGACGTGAGCCTGCTCAGAGGCGGACATGCCGCCCACATGGAAACCACAAGCCGCCGCCAGCCACCACCACACACACACGTACCAGGGAGCTAGGGCCAGATGGGCTGCTCCTCCCAGCAGACGCGGCCCTGAGGTAGCCCAGCAGGTGCAGGCCTGGCCAGGCGCAGAGCCGCTAGCCTCGTCCTTCTAGGGGCAAGCTCTCCTTCCCCCAGGTAAGGCAACCTGAGGGAGTCTGGGTGGGGCGGAGGAGGAGGAGTGGGAGGTATTAAACACAAAAGTAATGCGACTCATTAAAGAAAACAAGTGACACCGGAGATGCACAAGGGAGCCCTCTTGCATCCCTCCCAGGGCCAGCCCCTGCCAGCAGGGAGGCACACGCCCCTTCCCCTCCTCCCCACACCTTTCCAGGCCAGCACCCGCTGTCAGCGGCTCTGCAGCAGGACTGATCACCCCCCGCTGATGGACTGTCTGCTATTTTACAGGAAGGGAGTGAGCAATTCTGGGCACAAATCTTTCATCACCAAGAGAACTTCCACAGGAAAAACGGCTAGAGGTGGATCGTGTGCTCCAAGGGTTAGCAGGTTTAAAACTTGTTTAAGACATCAATCCATACTGCCGAAGTACCCTCCAAAGATGTCCCACTGCTAACCCCGGCCACAGCGTAAGAAGGTCTGCAACCAACAGAACCCGCCGCAGCCTTGTCAATCGCTGCCGATCTGCCGGGTGAAGGCGCTTCAGTGCTGTTTTAATCTGCACTTCCTTGATGATTGATGAAGATAAGCACCTTTTCAGATAGCTATTGGCTTATGCTCTTCGTGGTACTAAATAAGGTCACATTTCAGTGTGTGTGAGTGTATCTGTGTGCGTGTGTAAGCGTACCAGGAAGTTGGAGACATGTGCACATGTGGGTATACATGCATGATGTGTGTAGAAATATGTTTGCATGTGTGTGCCTGTGTGTGTGTGCACGCGTACATGCGTGCATGTTTGTGTGTGCACGGATGAGGGCATTATGTTTTTATGGGTATACGAATGTGTGTGCCTGTACTGTGCATCCCAACATACTGGGCAAGGTTTGGATACCCCAGATCTACAGCTCTCTGGAATCTGAGAATTCCAGGACACGTGGAAAGGGATGGAATCAAAAGCTCAAGCCCATGAAACACCGAAGCCATGACCAGGGACGCATCCTGGTTTTCTAATCTTCAAATTGTAGCCAGCGCGGCCCCATCTCAGCTGTCACAAGAACATACTTTTCTACTCACTGGAGTCACAACTAGCTTCCTTCCATCAGGGCCCCTCACACCTCGCTGAAGGAAAGGAACTCGCTAACCTAAGACCAGCAGAGGACACGACCCACATCGTGAGCCCAGAAGTGGAGACCTCAAAGGCTAGACAGTGAGGAAGGAAACTCTGGAAATAAAGAGCCAGAGAGGAAAGCCCCAATCTTACAGCAAAACTCTACCTCCATCTCTGGCTGACTCTGAACCACACAAGTGCAGGCTAACTGCAAGCAGCCCAGCTAAGGCTCAACAACCCAAACTGGTTTCCGCCGCCATTCAACTTGGCAGCACAGAGTTTGGAGCCCGCTAAAACAAAAAAAATCAATACTCTCCAGAGGAACATAACCGAATCAATACTCTACAGTGTATATTATTCACAACTTCCTAGATAAATCCAAGATCATTACACACGTGAAGAAACAGAACTACGTGATCCACCGTGAAGAGGAAAAACAATTAGTGGAGGCTGACCCCAAGGTCCAGTTGTTGGAAACAGCAAAGGTTTTAAAGCAGATACTCTAACTACGCGCACAGATATGAAGGAAAATATGCTCATCATGAATAGACAGGGAATTGCAACAAAGACATAAAACTATAAGAAATAACCAAAAGTATACGTGAAAAACGTATCTGAAATAAAAGGAATAAATCACAACAGTGAAGAAAACAAAATGCAGTGTCAACCATAAGGAATCCCTGAAAGAGGGTAGGTGACTGAGGTTTGATTGGTTTGACAGGGGAAACCACAGCCTAAGACACACACGGGGGAGGACTTGTGCAAAAGTGGGCGATGGGAAAGAGCCGGAAGGGGCTAGACAATGACAGCAGTGAGTCAGGGTCCTGAATGTGGAACAGCCCAGGGTACAGCCCGTCCCCATACCTGCACGTGTGCTGGCAATACTAGGAGTCTGCGCACAGCTGGATACTCACAAGGGAAGAAGGCCAGCACCTCTGGGCCAGGAAACACACTGGAGACACACCCCTGCTGACAGCCACCCCTCTGCCCACAGAAATGCAGACAAGTAGTAAAACAACACCCACAGATGGTGGGGTCCTCAAGCATAACCAGGAGCCACCAAATGCCCACAGAAAACAAGCACCATGAAAAAAAGGCCAAGTCACAACAAACACTGAGTCAGGCATGTCGTAAGCATCTCATATAGTGACTACACAAACCCTCACACCAGGGGTCAGCTAACTACAGCCTGCAAGCCAAATCCAACCCGCCTCCTGTCCATGTCAAACCTGTGACCTAAGAATGGTTCATATTCTTAAAACAGTTAGAAAAAAACTTGTCAAACACAATCTCATGACATGTTAAAATGGTATGAGATTCCAATCTCATTGTGCATTGCTCATCGGCTCATCTACGGCTGCTTTTGCACTCTGGTGGAGCTGAGTGGTTGCAAGTCACTCTTCACAGTAATAGCAGTGGTTCGAGTGCCACATGTACTGCCGTACTGCAACTTTTCATCTTTTATTACCAGTGCACACTCATCATGCCAAAACAAGAAGAGTAAACGGACTTTGTCACATTTTTAAGGCAGTGGAGTGTGGATTACATTGTTATTGGATAACACTGCAAAGAATGGGAATTCCAGAACACTTAATTGTGCTCTTGAGGAACCTATACACAGACCAAGAGGCAGGTGCCCACGGTTGAAAGTCAGGAAAAGTGTGCGTCAGAGTCCTATCATTTCACCATACTTATTCAGTCTGTATGCCGAGCAAATAATTCGAGAGGCCAGACTATATGAAGAAGAACGCAGCATCAGGATTGGAGGAAGATTCATTAAACAACCTGCGTTATACAGATGACGCAATCTTTCTTGATGAAAGTGAAGAGGACTTGAAGCACTTACTGATGAAGATCCAACACTACAGCCCTCAGTATGGATTACACCTCAACGTAAAGAAAACAAAAATCCTCACAACTGGACCAATAAACAACATCATGATAAACAGAGGAAAGACTGAAGTTGTCAAAGATTTCATTTTACTTGGATCCACAATCAACACCTATCGAAGCAGCAGTCAGGAAATCAAATGACTCATTGCATTGGGCAAATCTGCAGCAAAAGACCTCTTTAAAGTGTTGAAAGCAAAGATGTCACTTTGAGGACTAAGGTGCACCTGAACCCAGTCATGGTGTTTTCAATCGCCTCGTATGCATGCGAAAGCTGGACAATGAATACGAAGACCAAAGAATTGACACTTGAATAATGAAGTTGGCGAATAATGAATATACCGTGGACTGCCAGAAAAATGAACAAATCTGTCTTGGAAGAAGTACAGCCAGAATGCTCCTTAGAAGCAAGGATGGTGAAACTTCGTCTTACTTACTTTGGACCTGTTATCAGGAGGGACATGTCCCTGAGAAGGACATCATGCTTTGTAAACGGTCCGTGAAAGAGAGCAAGACCCTCAAGGAGACGGACCGACACAGGAGCTGCCACAATGGGCTCCAGCAGAACCGCCATTGTGAGGACGGCGCAGGTAGGGTTTCAATCGACTATACACAAGGTCGCTGAGTCGGAACCGACGCAATGGCGCCTAAAAACAAACAAGGTGGCAAAGCACCGTGTTTGTTATGCAGTGACCCTACAGCTGTGCTGGAATACACTGCATGTCCACATTACCAGACCAAGCGCTCAACACAGGAAATATGCCCAACTCACAGGGAAGCAACAGTCGGAAAAATTAGAAAATGTAAGAGTGTCTCGTCAAGCTGAATTTCTCAACAAAAAAAGGAAAATGAGGCCATAATGAAATCAAGTTTCTGAGGGGCTCATTTGTTAGCCAAGGAGGAAAGCCATTTATGGACAGTGAGTTAACTAAATCACGTTTGACTGCAGCAAAGATTGTGCAGAGAAAATGAACTTTAAGACTCTCAGCCTTTGGGCAAGAACAGTTGTTCCAAGGTTAAGCACACTGGGATCGAAATCTGCAGTCACTTAAAAAACAAGGCCAATTATTTGAGGTGGTTTCCTTGGCTCCTCATGGGTAGACAGACGTTACTGATACGGCCTGGTTGGGGTTGTTTATTCCAGGAGTTGCAAGTGACTCCACCCACAGAACAACTAACTACAGGGAGCGTATTTAAAACAAGTTGAGGAAACGTTAACTGGGCACAACGTGGAGGAGGATCTACCAACGTGTGTTAACCCGTGGTGGTAACAGTATGTGTGGGCAGGAAAAGGCTTAGCTGGACAAAGTTACAAAGCTTGTGGAAATGTAACATGTTTAAAGCCTAAGGCTTTTCCTGATATTAGTCACCCACAGGTAGTTTGCAGAAAACACGTCTCTCACGAGTGATTACTGACTCACTAAAGCCAATGGTGACCTCCACGTGCCCTTAACCAGAATTAACAGATGAATATCTGCAGTTGATTTTGATGACAGGGAACACTGACTTTGAGCCCCAATTAAACCAAATGGTATCCATTCTCATTAACAGAACTGCATTACAGAAAGTTACACTCAATTATTGTATTTTGAATTTTGTCAATCAAAATTTTGTGGAAGTTGGTTTTCTCTCATTATCCCCCATTTTGCCTCATTGCCAGCAAAGCCTAAAATAACTACTGTCTAGCCCTTGTTAGAAAAAGTTTCAAACCCCTGAAGGAGACTGTTCTTATCTCCACTTTACAGCTGAAGAAACGAAGGCAGAGGGTAAGCAGCCTGACCAAGGTGACACAGCTAAGGTGCAGTCAGGCAGTCGAGCCGGAGAGCGCATGGTCTTCACACGGGTCTATGCTGTCTCCCAACCACAAACTCAGAAACAAGAGCTGGCACCTGAGGAAAACAATCAACAGCGTAAGAAAAGACATTAAAGATAACACCTGCATGATAACATCTCATTTATGAACCAGAACAAACTACTTTGGGAAAGAGTCAATTAGAGGAAAAGGGCTCAGAACCTGGTCCATCTAACAGTACAACAATCATGCTAACCTCAAAGATCACATCATGTCCAGGAAAGATACCAAGTTTAAGAAAGTAAAAGCCTGTATCAAAGGCAGATTTAAGCCCCACGATTTAATAAGCAAGGCTTCATTATCTAGAGAATCTACTTTGGAAAAGGAAGTAAATCCAGTGCCCTGAACAACAATCCATCCATCAATCCCCAGCTGGTCTGAGATGGCCTTTTTCTTTCGAGAAAGAATAACACAAAAGTAGAAAGGATAAAAACAATCCAGTAAAAAAAAAGTCTACTTAGAGACTAAATGGGCAGCTCCTGTCCGGAGACAGGACGTGAAGGTAGAAAGGATAACAGCTGGTTGAATGGATACAGGCAACGTGGGGTGGAAAGGGGGGAGTATGCTGTCACATTACAGGGACTGCGAACAGGATCAGATAAAAATGTGCGTGTAAGTTTTTGTATGAGAAATTAACTTCAGCTGTAAACTTTCACTTAAAGCACAATAAAAAATAGTAACTTTTAAAAAATGTCATTAAATCTCATTTTAACAGTATTTAAAAATCAAACAAATTTCATGCAATCCTAGGAAGCCAACCAAGAGTTTTGGGTGGTGCAAACGGATACGTGCTCGACTACTAGCTGAAAGGCTGGCACTCTGGACTCACCCCGAGGCACCTCGGAAGACAGGCCTGGAGAGCTGCTCCCAGAAGGTCACAGCCCTAAAGATCCTGTGTGTGCAGTTCTGCTCTGCATGGACGAGCTGCCAGGAGACAGAACCAACTCGAAGGCAACTAACAGCGACAACCAAAAGCCAATCAGGGAAGGTTTAAAAACGAATTAAGGAACAATCAACAGATCGAAATCCATGTTACTGGCATTTTTTTAACCAGTTTAGAATTTAGTCATCAATCTTGTGATTTGGGGTATGTTCTCAACTTCTGAAGGCATTTAAAACACAAACAAGGTAACATTACACTTTGCATTTTAACATTCAGAACAAATTTGGATTAAACAAGTTTGCGATAAACATTTAGGAAATGTAATGTACTAAGTGAATATGTCTAATTTTATTATCTGTATAGAGACTATAAACACTGAAGGGTGTGAGCTGACAGCGAGGGAACATCAACAGCTCGACACAGGTAAACATGGACAACGTGGACCATAAGCCAAGGCAGACGTAGTTGAGACATAGTTCCTTCCCATGCACGAAAACTCCCTGGACATTAATGAAGCTGTCCACTCCAACTGGCAGATGTGCTCCGTGTCCACGCTCCCTGTCTCTTCACCCAAAAGGGCTGCCTTTCCGCCACACCATCAAAGGCCCACGGCCCTCAGGACACAGGTCACAGTCCCACTGGGGGTCCACCTGGTTACACAGGACCAAACATGGGTGCCGGCAGGCCAGCCCAGCCCCTAGTCCCTCCAGCGGTGCCCACACTGGACGTTGCAGCACTTGTAGAAGGTGGTCATGGGCTCATCAGCAGAGCGAGTCTGAAGCTGCATGAAGTAGGCACGAGGATGTTCACATTTGGGACACGGCTCTGGCAATGAGAAAACACAAAAGTGACCCACATGACACACAAATGATGCTCATGACCAGCGCACCTGTTGGAAGCTGGTCTCACTGAGGGCAGCGAAGACCTCTGCTAATACAAGCTTCCTCACCAACAGTGCCTTACAGCTCGGTGAAGGCACAGCCAGTGATCACAGGATTAAATCCACAAATGGTGGCATCATTCCCACTGTGCTCCAACCACAAGGGAACCGGGGGCCATGGAACCTTGAAAACTCCCCTCCTCCCTTCTCAGGGCCCCACTTTTCTGTTCATGTCTGGTTGGAGGCAGGTTGGAGAGATAATACAGGTGTCTCTGGGCCCACACCTGCAGATTTCCCTGGCAAGGGCATTGTCCTCCGCCAGGCGGGAACACAAGCTCTCTAGCACCCCAACTGACTTCCTGTCATTCCATGATGACCCACCCCTGACCCACCCCTTCCCATCACATTCAGGGGCCCATTTGGGCAGATGGCACTCAGGCTGCTCTTATCAAGATCTCACCACAGTTCCCATTTTCAAAGTGCTCCAAGGCACATGTTTACCTTTCAAGATGTCACTCTGAGAAACTGACAGCTCTCTAAAAACAACATTCCCAACAGTGAGTGCACATTTCATCTTTCCACGGCAAATTCTGCAGACGCTAATCTGTAACCTAGTGGATTTGGATGCTCCTCTACAGGGGAGAAAAAAGAAGTGCTCACCCTGAGTGAGCAGTCCACCTCTCCACACAGACTGCGTCTGGGCCTCTCCTCCTTCCTTCCCTGGGCACAGCTCTGTCTCTCAGAAATGAGAGATGAAACACTTACTTTACCCAGAAGGCAGTTTAATGCTCCTTGGTATTTTTTTTAAATCTACATTAAAACAAAAAGACCATATTTTCTCCTTATACTCTGATTTTTATTGCCACCGTGACGGCAGCTACCGTCTGCCAAGTGCTTCCTGAAATCAAGTGCTATACAACTCACTTCATCCTTGCACAGCCCGTGAGCATGTATTAGTCCCAGAGACGCCAAGGGGCTCACCAAGGCCCCACAACAAAAGGTTGCCAAGAATCTAACCCAGTCCGTATAACTCCAAGGCTTGTACCGATATTGTTGTGTAACCGATAAATCTTTAAGAAAGAAAGCACATAATACGATTTCTACTTTTACAAGCCCGATCATACGTACACCATCACAGACTCTGACACAGAGACACAGCAGGCAGCCTCATATGTCTCTACAGCTTTGTAACCAAAAAGGCTCCTCCCCTCACCTGCTGTGGAGTCCACATTCTCCCAGGCAGCTGCTCCTCCAAGCACATCATCCACTTCTTTCAGCTTGGGATACTTCCGATTTGTCACCTAACAAACAAGAAGTCTTCAGACTCTCCAAGGAAGTGACTGTACAAACCCTGGGCCACCAAACCCCAACAGCCCTCAGGTGTCTTCCCAGACTTCCTCCCTCCAACAAGCAGTGAAGAAACACTAAGTAAAAACAAAGTTCCTGCTCTCACAGGCCAGGGTTGTGAACTTAGAGACTCTGTGATCAGGCTACCCATCAAGACGAGAGAGACAGTTTGAACAGTTACAGATCTCTGGGAGGACTGGAGGAAGAGAAACGGGTTAGGTGTGGCCCTCCTCCTCTCCCATCGCTCCAGGTATTTGGTATCCCAACATGACAGAAACAAAATGGAAGACAAAGAGCACCACTTAGCTGGGAGGCCAGACACTCCCCACCCAGGCAGAGAGTTTTCAAAGCAGGTTACACTTGGCTTCTTCTACCAGACATCCATGAAACTTCAGGGTTATATAAGGGTCCATTCTTCCCATCTTTTGGGACTCTAAACTCCAACAACACAGTTACACAGTGTACTAATATGCAAATAACAAAAATGAGGCAGCAACAACATACTCTACTTCTGAAAAGTACAGTGTTCAAGTCGTATTAAAGCCATGGCCGTTGCATCAATTTTGACTCAGAGCAATCCCATACAACAGAGTAGAAGTACCCATAGGGTTTCCAAGGAGCGGCTGGTGGATTTGAACTGCAGACCTTTTGGTTAGCAGCCGTAGCTGTCAACCACTAAGTTACCAGGGTTTCCAGTTATAATACAGTATACACAAAACCAAACACACTGCCACAGTCACTTCAGACTCATAGCAACCCTATAGGACAGAGTATAACTGGGTCCCCATAGGGTTTCCAAGGCTATAAATCTTTTTTTTTTAAAAAAAGAAAGTTTTATTCAGTCTATATTCAAACAGGCAAAAGTGGGAAACAGACAACCGTGCTGCCAGAGTCATGTCTGCCCAAGTCCAAGGAAATATCACAGAACAGACAGAAGTGGGAAAACGGACAAGCATGCTGCTAGAGCCATATCTGCCAGAGTCCAAAGAATATTACAGAATAGGCAAGAATGGGAAAATGGACAAGCATGCTGCCACAGCCATGTCTGCCCGAGTCCAAGGGATATTTCCGAATAGACAAGAATGGGAAAATGGACAAGCATGCTGCCACAGCCATGTCTGCCGGAGTCGAAAGAATATTACAGAATAGGCAAGAATGGGAAAACGGACAAGCACGCTGTCACAGCCATGTCTGCCCGAGTCCAAAGACCATTACAGAGCCATCAGTATATATTAACATTACGAATGGGCAAACCATTGAAAGCTTCACCTTTTCACAGATTGGCTAGAAACTGTGATCCTACATTTTGAACCACCCTTTTTAAACAATCATTGGTACAGGTTTCAGTAACTACAGTCAGGAGGGTCTTCATCGGTCCAACAAATTTCTATTCACTAAATGTTAACAGAAAAAGATAAGAGTAGAAAGTCTTTTGTGTTCTGTTTGATTGACTTTATGTGAAAGTTTCCCCAAAGGGTATTTTCCAAGATTATCTTAGCTATTGTCTTTATATCTCAGGGCCCACTTGATATGTCGTTGTGAGCGCTTGTGAGCCCAGCTCCAGCTGGGTCACATTCTCTATGCTCAAAGACAGGGAATAATAACTCCAATATTATTTCCTAAATCACTCCCTCCTTTTGATTGGAGATTGCAGATAACACATCAATGATAATACCTGGACTTAGTCAAGCTCCTAGATGGCGGCCACTGTAGGCTCTTTAAACTCACGGTGCTGGTTTTCCACCAGATACCACCTGGTTCTTCACCAGGTTATTAAGTAAGAGCCATGTTCTCATCAACTGCACTGCCAGAGTGAGCAGAAGCAATGTACATCAACATTTCAGCCCGAGGCCTTCTTTTGCCTTTTGGGTGTGTAAGACAATAGAGGATAAATTTTATTACGCCGAATACTATCAGAATGTAGACTAAAAACATTATTCCTTCCAATACTGATCTAAAGGCTGTAAATCTTTTTGGAAGCAGACTGCCACATCTTTCTCCTGGAGGAGCGGCTGGTGGGTTTGAACCACTGACCTTTACGAGTGCTTAACCACTGTGCCACCACGGCTCCTATAGTACAGTATGCAGCCTTCTTCTACTAAACACCCATTCTACTGCAAGTTCCATTCCAGGCGTTCAGACTAGGGAATTGGAAGTGACGTAACAGAAAATTCCCTGCCCTCCTGCAGCTTATGTTTTAGTAGCAACAAAGTACACGAGTAAATTATAGAGCATATTAGAAGGTATGAGTCCCATGGAAAAAATAAAACCGGCCAGGAGGACAAAATGGAGAGGGTAACCATTTAAATAAAGACGCAACCACCAAGTCCCGTGGGTCCAGAGGAAGCGTGCGCCCAGCGGAACAACCTGTGCAAAGGCCCTGCAGGTAGCAGCGCTGGAGCATGACGGGAGATACTCCAGTGGCCGGTGCTGTTGGGGCAAAATGAACGACAGGGAGAAGGAAAAAGGACGTCAGGAGGCGAAATTCAAGCAGCAGGTGGGCGGGGTCAGGGCTAGAGCCTGGGGGGGCCCTGTGAGAACTTTGGCTTTTACTCCGAGCCAGCGGGGAACCACTGGAGGTTTCTGAACACAGAGCGCAGGGACCTGACTCGGCGCAGTGGGGAGCACAGTGCGCGGGACGCCTAGCCAACATTTTTCGGCGATAATCCCGGGACAAACGGCTGGCTCCGAGCGTAATGAAGGCACAGCCGACGTGGGCGTGAGCGGACAGCGGGCGGCGGCGGGACCCACCTTGCGGGTGATGTTGTGCACGTAGGGGCAGGTATTGCAGGCGAAGCGGTGGCAGCGCTGCCCCTCCTCCACGATCAGCCCGTTCCCGCAGCCCGGGCAGAAGAGCAACATGGCGGCCGAGTCAGGCCGATTGCGACCACCCAGACCGGCGCCTGATTCCCGGCAACCTCCGCGGCTACTCGTCGCCGGCGTTCGCCTCGACTCGAGCTCACATTGGCCCAGACAGGGGCACGGTCCTCAGCCCACCAATAGGCACGCTGGTCTCGCGCTCCCAGCGTGCCCTGCGGTAGACCGTCTCGCACTTCTCATTGGTCAAGGCGGCCGCTCCGCCCCCAGGCACACCAATGGCCGTCCAGGTTTGCTCTGAGGTCGGCAGTCCCCGCACGTAAGCGTTTCGCCCTCCTCTTGCTGACTGGCGGGGCCGAGGGCCCCGCGGCGGACGCGGCCCTGGAGGGGGCAGAGGCCGAGGCGCGGCCCGAGGCGTCGGAGGACAATGAGGACGACGACGAGGCGCTGCCGCACTCGGAGGTGGTGGACGTGTTCCAGGAGGGTCTCGCCATGGTGGTGCAGGACCCCTTGCTCTGCGATCTGCCGATCCAGGTGCGCGGCCGGGGAGGGAGGGCCGGAGTCTCTCCCAGCCGGGCCGGAGCCTGCGCGGACCCCGAGGTCTTGTGGGCGTTGCAGCCCCTGGGATGGAGGAAGCACAGGGCTGGTCCTCGGAGGGCGCGTTCTCCGGCCTGTTTCTGTTGTTAGGTGCGGTCGAGTAGGTGCCGACTCATAGCGATCCTCTTTCTATGCCCCTCTTTTCTCGGAGCCTCTGCCCACTTTGAGCCTTGAACTTAAAAGGTGTGCGTGAAACGCGAAATCGGGGTGCTGAAGAACTGGGAGCCCTAACATAGGCAAGGACGCTTTTATTTCCTTGTCCTTCATAAAACATGGGTACCACTTTTTGGCCTTTCTCAGCTTGTTTTATTTTTTCTCGTTCGGGATGATGAGAACAGCAGCCCACCTTCGTCTTTTCCAGGTTACTTTGGAAGAAGTCAACTCCCAGATAGCACTGGAATACGGCCAGGCCATGACAGTCCGTGTGTGCAAGATGGACGGAGAGGTCATGCGTAAGTGATGCCCTCCTCCCCGCAGCTTCACGTTCTCAGGGCTGCCAGGGGCATCAGGGCTACCACGAACCTGCCCTGCCCTGAGGTTGGCCTGTGGTGCCCACCGACCTGGGGTCTTCTCCCATTTGTGTCCCTGGTTCAGCTGTGGTCGTCGTTCAGAACGCGACGGTCCTGGAGCTGAAGAAGGCCATCCAGAGATATGTGCAGCTCCGGCAGGAGCGCGAAGGGGGCATTCAGCACATCAGCTGGTGAGTGGAGCAACTCCCAGGCCTGCACGCACACATGCTGGACCTGTGCTCTCTGATTCTCTGCCGTGACTGACGGGGTGAGTGCCCTCCCTGTCTTGGGCGCGGTTAGGCAGAGACAGGTCTTCCGTGGATTCCTGCCCCTGCCTCCTTTCTAAACACGCTCATCTGTGTCTTCCCACCTCCACTGCTGGAGTCTTCACTTGGGGGCACTTTTGGGCATTTCCAGTATTACCTGAAGTGGTCTCTGTGGTTACCGGCAGCACAGCTCGGTCACGGCCTACCCCCCTCACTCTCGTAGTCTGCACCAGTGCATTTCCTCACGGGGTATGCAACCCCTGTGCAGCCCTTTGAGACCAGCGCCCCCTTGCAGCTGCTTCAGGCCCCTTGTGTCCTGAGTCTCCCTTTTGCAGGTCCTATGTGTGGAGGACGTACTATCTGACCTTCGCAGGAGAGAAGCTTACAGATGACAGGAAGAAGCTCCGAGAGTAAGTCCTGGCCACACCTTGAGCTACTAGGGGAGGGTCTGGTCCTTGCCTGGCTCTAGTCCCTGTGCTCCACTGAAGGGAGGGGCTTCCCAAAAACATCCCTGGCTGGACACCTGGGGGCCGGGTCTCAGCCCTCCCCACTAAAAGGGCGGGCAGAAGAAGAGCTAGCTTCAGAAGCCCTGGCCAGCTCTCACCACCGTGAGAACATCAGGGTCCTGTGGATCTGCACAGGTCAGGTGAAGGAAAATGTGAGCATGTAGAGGGGAAAGGCCGCCCACTGAACAGCATGAGTCACTTCCTTGCTCTGCCTCCTCCTCCCGAGTGCCATACCCTCTTCTCCCCTCCCCCCTCCCCTTTCTCATTCACAGGCCCCAGGTGGGAGTCACTGGTGTATTTTTCTGCAGATCAGACACATCCTACCTTTCCTTCTCTTTCAGTTATGGCATCCGGAATCGGGATGAGGTCTCCTTCATCAAAAAGCTGAGGCAAAAGTGAGCCTCCAGCAAGGACACAGGGGTGGGGGCCAAGTTCTTCCCCTCAGGACAAGCTCTTCCCCTCTTCCCGTTTGGCCGCTGTCTCCTTCACAGAAAGGCAGGTTGCAGCCTCACCCCAATGTACTCTGTCTCCTCCTTCCCCCGCCATCTGGAACCAACAGTGTGAACCCCAGGGCTGTCGGGTCCTCATTTCTCTCCCGTTTACTCGGCCTGAGCCTTACCCCCTCCCAATGCCCAAACCTGACTACATGTGGACCCCACGGGGCTGTGGACATAGTCTTATATACAGAATAAATCTGTTTGCTTTTTAGTTTGAAAGTCAAAAAGCTAACATATCCTGGGCAGGAGAAAAAGATGCTGCCCCTAGGGAGGTGGGGAGAAGGAATGGGGTTGGAGCAGGTGGGCCCTGAGGTTCAGGGTGACCGCCTGAGCCCCATGGCTGCACAGTTCCCCAGACCACAAACTGCTTATGCTGTGGTCTGTACAGCAAGGGGGACAAGCAAAGCAGCAGTCTTTGTTTCTGCTTGTGAGACCAGAGTGGAATGCGTGTAAACGCAGACATGGGCTGGGCTTCTGGTCCAGCCCTCAGGGCTCACCAGGTGAAAAGGAGAGAGCATGGGGCTGAAACTACAGCTGTTGGCTGGACCAAGGATGGGGGCTGAGGGTGAGGGCATTGCTGGGGTACCCCATCCCACCATCACCTACCAGTCACCAGTGGAGGGGCGCCGTGCATCCACCTGGCTGAAGGACCACCCTCCACAGCCACCCAGTCGGATCCCGGAAAGAGGAGGCAGCCAGGATGAAGGTAATGGCAGCTAAAACGCTCCCGTTAGTTTACTGGCCACGTGAGGTGGTTGTCAAAAGAGACTAGTTAGAAAGTGATTATGGGCACTAGGGTAACAAACATGGCAGCAGGAGGGGTTCAACAAAAGTGAACAAGGCACAGAGGTCTGCATTCAGAAACGCCATCCCGCCAGCCAGTAGGGGCAGAGGTGGCCTTGGCACCGGGCTCCGGGCCTGCTGGAGCGCGGCTGTAGCCCCCACCCCTCGGGCCCAGCTCAGTGCAGCTGTGCATCTAGCTCGTACTTCTCGCAGAACTTGTCAGTGAAGGGGATACAGGTGAGGAACTCGCACCACTCGCAGCGTACAGGGTAGAAGTAGAAGAGGACCACCAGGCTGGCGAGCAGCCCCAGGAACACGGCCTGGAAGATGATGATCTGGCAGCGCTTGCGGTACAGGTCAAACTTGCCAAAGCTGATGTAGGGCAGGAAGGCAAAGGAGAGGAAGAGGCCACTGACAAAGCCAGAGATGTGGGCAAAGTTGTCGATCCAGGGCAGCAGCCCAAAGGCGAAGAGGAAGAGTACCACAGCCAGCAGCTTGAAGAAGGCACGCCATGGCCTCGCCAGGATCTGCCAGCTCTGGAACAGCTCCACGAAGAGGCAGGCCAGGATGCCAAACTGCGAGCCAGCCGGGCCCACCTGTGGGGTGCGAGGCACCTAAGCAGACCCAGGCCTCACCTCCTCTTGCCCCACCTCCCTGGCCTGGAGCCCATCAGAACCAAGGGCCAAACAGAGACTCCCAGAGGGACCTGATCTAGTGCTGGATGTGGACAAGTGTGCACAAGTGTCCCCACCTGAGGGGTACCTCACCTCTGCACGGTACGGCAGGAAGATAGCGCTGGCAAGGTTGCCGGTGATGCCGCTCAGCAGGTAGATGAGAGAGATGCGGTGCCAGCCAGCCAGCTTTTCCAGGTCCCGCAGGATGGTCATCTGGAAGCAGACGGACACCAGGCAGTGCAGGATCCTGAGGTGGGGTGGTGTGAGGGGATACTCAGCAGGGACGGTGGGAGTCTGCCATTCCAGCCTGGCCACTCCCCAGCACACCCCACCATGCCCGGCGTGTCACTTGCCCTGCGTGCAAGAAGAGGGACAGCCACAGGCGGTAGAACTGGTCGGGCACCTCGGGGTTGAGGAAGGGCAGGAGCCCGCACACGTCATCCATGCAGTGCACCTGCGCAGAGGAGCCGTTAGCATCTGTGCAGGGAGCAGGGGCTCCCCCTCTGCCCCAAGACCTACCTGAGAGCAGAGTGTGGCCTCCTCGTGAAAGTAGCCCCTCATGAAGTCACAGTACTCCCGGGAAGTGATCTCACACCTGGAAAGTGAGGCCGGGGGTGGGAGGGCGCCCCCATAGGGCGGAGGGACTGCTGAGGCCCCAGGAGCAGAGGCATGTGCCCCCCACTCACCCACCCACCTTTGATGGCCCCGGATAAATCCAGATCATTTCGACCCCACTCCCCTTGGTATCTCAGATTGTTTCAGAATTCTGTGAGGGAGAAGGGTGTAGCCCCTGGCCAGTGCAGACCCCAGAGACCAACTGCACGCACCCACGTACACACACCCTCATGCACACACACACCTAATCCTACACACATCCATACACATCTGTCCTGCATGTATGCACACACATGTATGCACGTGCTCATGCACGCACACAGGCACCTGCCCTGCATGCACCAGTCCCACTTGCACACTCCCATCCTACAGGTACACACACATGCACGCACCTGCCCTTGGTGCCAATGCAGCAAGGCCGACCCGTGATGGCACAGTCCATGTGGGGGTGGTTGGTGTGGTTCCCGGCACTGTTTTTGGTGCAGATCTGGGTCACAGATGGGGATGAGCTGGAGCTGGGCCAGGGCTTCCCCCAACCCTGGGCCCCACACCACGCTTGTGGGGAAAGGCTCGTAGGGTAGGAAACAGGCCTCCCTTGACTTGGCACAGGCCACTGCACCCTGAACCTCAGCCAGCCCATCTCTGTAGTTGGAATGATGCCACTTGACCTCCACATCTCTGCTGGCCTTGCTCAGACCATCTGCTCGGAGGCAGGCTCTGGCGGACAGGCTGCTGAAGGCCAGGCCATGGCACGGGGTAGCTGAGGTGCAGCCTCGACAGGGCCTTCAATGGGATCACTGGTGAGTAAGGTGTGGCTCCCTATCTGCCATGATAAGGGTGACACCTCCAGGACCCCCACTCACCGGCCACTTGGTGATGTCGTCAGGCCACTCGTGGGGGTCCTCAGAGGAAGGCTCATCGCACACCCTACAAGAGCACAGTGCCTGGTCAGACCCACTTCAAGCCCCTGGCATGCCTGCCAGCTCCACAGCCCACCCCTCCCAGTTGGTGAGGGAGTAGCCATGGGGACTAACCTCGGGTCCTGGTGGCAGACGGAGCCGAACTGCCTCTTGTGGCCAGCGAGGTCTGGGGCACTGGGGTGGACGGGCCACTTAACCCAAACTGCCAGTGTGGACTGTGGGAGACACAGGGCTCAGCCCCCAGTTGGCAGTGAGGGGGCTGACGGGGGCAGGAGTCAAAGCAAACCACTCATATCCTCCCTGTAGGGCAGCCTGGCACCCTCTGACCCCACAACTCCACCTCTAGGAATTGACACTCCGGAAATGCACGTGGATTTCAGGGGAGAGTTTGTTCAAAAGCATAATTTGTATTAGATTCCAGTCAGAAAATAACTGTGTCCAAAATCAGAGTCCCTCATAAAAAAAACGTAGATGGGTCTTTTTTTTTTTTTTTTAATTGCTTAGTAGAAAAAAATAAGGCAATATCACTTATGTAAAAGTAAGGCGCGTGCACACAAACGGGACACATGCTGAAAGATCGCACCCAGATCTGAAAACGCACAGTACAGTGATTGTCATAGAGTGTCGCGCTTGAGGAGCAGTTTGGGGATGAAAGGAACGAATGCGCAGGAGGGCCTGCACAGACCAGGCAGAGGCGCCATGAAGGCAGAGAGCAGTGATTGGCTCCACGCGAACAGCAGCGCGAAGAACGGGGATGGCGGCCGCACACACCGAGCACTCCTCCTCCGAGGTCTGCACGCAGCCCGAGCGGTCGTTGCGCACGCAGCAGGCCGAGTGCCTCTCGCGCTCGCGAGCCGCGCGGATGAAGCTGTGCACCTGCGGGTCCTGGCGCATGCAGGGCGAGAACTTGGCGCCCAGGTGGATGAGAGCCTCCTGCGGGCGAGCAAGCGGGACGTGGAGCTGCGGCCAGGCCCCTCGAGCGCCGCCCAGCCCGCCGCCCTCGCCCCTGCCCGGCCCGCCGCCCTCACCGAGCTGGGCCCGATCCAAAAGTTCTCCTGCTGCACGTACTTGACGTTTTCATAGACGCCGCGGTTCCGCAGCACCTGGGCGAAGGGGGCGGATCAGGCCGCGCCCACTCGGCCCTCTTGTTCCCAGAGTCGCGGGAGGGGTGCATAGCCCGGGACCCACACGTCAGCCCGGGGAAGGCGCAGGGCTCACCGAGTCCACTGTCTCGTGCTGCGAGAAGCCCACTGGAGCGATGCCGTAAGTGCAGACGGCCAGGATGGTGACCAGCGAGTGCACGAAGGTGAGCCAGTAGGTGAAAAAGGGCCTGTAGGGCGGAGCGTCAGCGGGCCACGCCCACCCAGCCCCGCCCGCAGGCGCCGCCTGGCCCTGCCCGCCCACCTGTGGTCGTCCATGTCCTCGATCTGCCGCTTGACGTAGCTGTCGATGCGCTTGCGATAGGTGCGGTTGGTGAGCCGGCCCACCATGCCCAGCCCGTAAGGCCGCTTCTCCCGGGCGAAGAGCTTGCGCACTGGCACCGCGATGCGCTGGCCCCTCCGCGGCCCTGCCGCGCTCACCACCTCCTGCCGCAGCCGCACCTTGGGCTGCGGGGCCGCCGCGCCGCCCTCCTTTTGCTTTCGCCAGCCACGCTCCAGAGGCCTGGGGGACGTCGCGGTTAGCTCCCGCCCGGACCCCCGCCTGCTGCAGTCCCTCCCCGGCAGGACGACGACGCAGGTCTGTCTGTCCTACCCCTTCCTAGCGATGAGGCAACAGCTGAGCCCCTCTCCGCATGGCAGGGAGGAGAGAACCAGGGACAGATACGAGTGTTAACTCCTGCTCCCACTGACGCCTTGGTGCTGTCCAGCCCGTGAGCTCTGAGATGGAGCTCCCCTTCCACAAGAGGCAGCCAAGACTTGTCCGCACCCAGCCCTGGAGCCCCAGTCATGGTGGTCAAGCTTGGCGACCCCTTCCCTGGGGACTCCGGTCCGTGAGCACCCCAGCGTGGTTACCAAGGGCCCGCCACACTCACAGCATCAAGTGGCTGCGCTCCAGCTCGCTGCGCTCCAGGGCTCCGCCCGTGAGCTCCGCCGTCTCCGGGGCCTTCTCCCAGTCCTTGAGCGCTGCCTCTGACGGGGATTCGAACACCTCATCTGGGTAGGTGGACAGCTCCTCGTGGAGGACTCCTTCCTGAGCAAACAGGCGCGGTCAGGGACTCGGAGGCAGAGTGGGGAGGGTGCAGCACTGCCA